ATTTTTTTTTTTTTGATTTTTTGGAATTTTTTTAATTTTAGAAATTAGAATGCTAGTGCTTTTCTCTAAATCAATCTCTTATGATTATTTTAATTTTCTTAGTAACACTTTCTAGCTGCAAAAGCAAAAAAAAGAAAAACATAACATATGTTAAAAATTTGCTATTGACTTTTTGTTGTATTTATGAAATTTAAATCTATTTGTATATATATATACATATAGATTTAAATATATATATATAGAGAGAGAGAGAAAGAGAAATAAAACTAATTTTCTTTGTTTTCTCTCTCCTTTCATTTTATCCTTTCGGTCGCGCTATACATATATATATAGAGAGACAAATGCAATTTTTTAAAAGTTTCTAAAATTCATAAATTTTTTTAAATAAATATTATGTTATTTATTCAATATTTACTTTATTCCCTTTTGTTTATTTTTTATATAAAAAAAATCATTAATTAGAATTGATCTTCAAAATTAAATATTGTAATTTTTACTGCTCTGATAAAAGAAAGTCATTAAATATTTTAATGTTTGTTTCAGATCCTGAAAATAAGTGAAGACCAAAACCATTTCAAATTAGGACTCAGTGTTTTGTGTATAAAGAGTTATCGCTATTTTTGTGATTTTTCCTTAATTTATGATAACCAGTGTAATTCGTGTGTTTATTTATAGCTGACACTAAAAAAATATATTTCGAGCATTTGTACATATAATAAAACATTAAAATAAAAAAGTTTTTCTTAAAAGTTTTTAAAACTTCTTTTTTTTTTAGAAAAAAATTAATTTATAAACTTCAGAAGTTTAACAAATTTTATTAGGTTTTCTTCGAATATACCTTTTTAATCTTCCTTCATAATAAAAAAAGCTCAGTTTATAGGACATCCATTGTATATATAATTCATATTCATTGCCAACCGTTATTTTAGAAACATTTAAATTTAACTACAATAATAAAATGAAATAAAATAAAGCGAAACTGTGCGTCTCCATGTATGTCTCTCTTATGTTATAACGTCAAATAATTTTGTACTATTTGAGATTTGGACAAAAGTTTTAGTTAATTCGTGCGGAAGAAACTTCTTAAAAGTAAATTTTTCTCATAGGTTTAACATTAGGCATTGGTCATAAATTGAACTTTTAATGACACAAATATTTTTAAAAAAATATCAACATTTGTTAGCTCACAACCCTATTTTATCTGAAAAGGCGTTTATTTCAGACCCTTTAACATTTAATTATTTCTTACTTTTTGTGTTTAATTATTTCCTACTTTTTGTGCAAAGTAAGCTCGAAGTTGAACGTGAATGGAATGTGAGGGCTACATCACCAAATTAGTATTTATACAGTTATCAAAATCTACGTGTTTATTTTGCTTATAGTTACACTTTTGAAACTATATTCTATAAAACAAAATAATATAACATATTTAGTAATTGAAGGGGAAAAATTAAGTAATGCAACAGAAAGCAAAAGTATTGCTGAAAGGTTTTTGAGTGACAGCTCAAAAAATTATGGTCAAATCTATCAAAATATGATAAAATTTAACGCGCTGCAGTCTGTATGAGAACATCAAAAACGTCGTTGATTTTTGCTGAAGTGCTTTAGTATTAATTTCGGTAAAATTAAGAATAAACTGTAGTTTCATATTTCGTGATAAAAGTTAGTAAATTTGGCATCACGATACCTTAGAGAATGGCATAAAAACCATTTATTCTGTTAAATGTACTTTTTAATTTTACTAAATGTGTAGTAAGAACTTTAATTTTAAAAATCAAAATATCCTATAGACCGTTATCATGCCAATAGAAAAATCTCCAAATGAATTAATTAAAGACCCTTATATTTTGGTATTTATTACTAGAATTTCATTTTGCAACCAGCTTTGAACAGCCTATCAAATTCTGAGTTTACAACTTTCTCTGTTCAACTCCGTAATCTTGCAATTTTAAACCAAACCCAGAAAAAAAGGGAACTTTTGAAAAATGCATTGGGACATTAGTGAAGGGGTTTTGATTGAACTAACTCGCATTCCGTTACATGGAGAGGAAAACTATTACCAGAATTATATATTTTTTAAATTAGAAATGACATTATCATACGGTAGTTTGACTAGAATTTTTTTTCTCCTTGCGTAAGCTATCGCCAAGCTATTGTTGACCGCAATGATGTTTAATTAATTTTGATAATAGGTACAAAATGTATTGTGGTAGAAGGTTCTGTTTTATTTAGTGAAAATATGAAAAGATAGATATCGTGGGTATAGCTCCTTACGGCACCCCGAAAGTGATAAGTACCAAAGAAATGTGCTTGATTGAGGTAAATTTTGACCCTAATGAGTTTAATGTCATTATTCAAAATAATACTGTTACTGTTTAACTTGATGGAAGGAACTCTTCAAAACATGTTTCACTTAATCTAATAACGTAAAGTCATCGGGCAGGAACAAAAAAAAAACAAATTTAGAAATATGTTAGCTTTATTGATTATTATGTCGGTACATGTCCTTTAGTTTTGTCCATGATTTTATGGTGTTGATTAATGCCGATCTGTTATTACTAAAAATTTTTTTATCCCTTACGAAGAACGGGTATTCAGCTAATATTTAGTAAAATTCTTGAATATTTATAACTAAAAACAAATCTTTCAAATTAAGTGAGAACTTCTATAATTCATTAAGATTAGATGTATCCGTTTTCTTCACTTTCATATATTAGTGATTACGTCTTTTACAAAACGAGCAAGTTTGTTACTAAATAAATAATCTTAAGAGACTCAAGGGGCAAGATTTCACTTGATTCGCTTATTGATTCTCAATTAAAACTTAATTTGCTTCAAAATGTACAAAGTGAAAATAACTGTCTACATGGCACTCCGAAAAGCTCTCAGAAACAGGAGCCCATTTTCAAGACTTGTCAGATATTTCTTCTCATTCACGTCTGACGAGTCTTGAAAATACGCGTCTGAGTGTGTGAAGCATATCGAATGTTACTTCAAATTAGTATATTTTTGAAGCGATTGAAATTTTTAATCAAGGAATAAGTTTACTATTATTGTTATTTAAAATGAATCTAATCTGTTGAACTTTTGCCCTCATTATAATAAACTTAATTTTAAAAGATTTTTTAAATACGTTTCAATGTAATCATTAACAATAACAGTCAATCGAGTAAAAAGCTGTTCTGTCAATTTTAAAAAAAGAGAACATTTCACAAACTTATTTTAAATTCATTTTAATCTAATTTTTTTCTATTTGCTTAAAATAACATTTTTTTAAACTTTTAAACTATTTTAATTCATATGACTAATATAGAAAAATTCACATAAATGTACATTCAACATTTATTTACATATTTACGTTTAATTTAATATTATGCACAGGGAAATAGTGCGCTCAAAAGAGATGCAACCGTTCATAAGAACAAACGGAAAAACAATTAATATAAGTTATATCATGTAAACTTATCCTAACATGAGTTACATTTTTTAATTAAAGTATGCTAACTTATTGCAAATTAGAGAATGGCAGAATTCTGAGAAAAATTCTGGTGCCGGTACTTACCTTAAAATCCATTTTTACCAGAAAATTATACGTGACAAAACAATCTGATATACCGTAATTTTTACAGTAATAATTAATGTAAAATTACTGAATCTCTCTAATGAAATAAATATTACCATAAAAATAACGGTACAACATTTTACGATAAAATGGATTTTATTGATGAGGCACCCAAAGTACCTCATCCGGATCCGGTATTTTTTGCATTGTATAAAATAAAACAAATTTTCCTGATTGCAATTTTTCATTGGATGAATCAATTAAACAGACTTGGACACCCCGATTTTATTATTGTTACCACTTGAGCTTAACTTTCTTTTAGATTTTGAGATTGGCTGTTGAAATTCCAACACACACTTTGAGAGTTTAAAATCAAAGTTAATTCAGTAAATTCAAAATAAGTACAGAGTAAATGTAATATAACGTTTTATTCTAAAATTCCTTTTCTTGCTAAAATAATTATGTCCAGAAATAAATATTTTTGAAACGTGAAATGTGTGCATTGTTCTGTGATTTTCTAAACTAATAAACTGTTTTTTTTTGTTAACATTTGAGTAAAATTGAAGTAGCTCATGACGTTTTATTTTACCAATGTCTATTTTTAGGGACAACAACTGAAAAGCGAACATGCCTGAACCCACGGAAAATGGAGAGGAGACTGGGATGCAGGGGAAATCTGAACTGGAACAAATCCAGTTCAAGCAAAATCAAGTCACTGATGAGGTAGAATCATTTTCATAAACCGCTTTTCTTTTCTTTCAAAATGATATTAATTAAAAAGGCTTGCATTAAATACTAATTTACATGCAAATATGATTTTTTCAGTAGATACAAAAAATTAGTTTTTTGAATACAATTTAAAAGTGCTAAAAATTAGTAAGTTAATTTTTTTAACAAAAAACAAATTAAAACAAATCGAAATCTTATATTTTATAGACTCTTTCATTAAACCCTTTTTCCTTCCTTGTTATTACCATCAATAATTATTAATATAAATATCTAATTAGCGGTAAATGACTATAACATTTAAACTGTCAGGAATAGGTCTGCTACATATTAAAAAATTAAAGCTATGAACGAAGGAAAATTCAGCCTTTTACGTATTCACACCACGAATATATACTTATAATCATTAAAAGTAACATTAAATAAATAAACATAGTTATAAAAAAATGTTTACTTGTGCTTTGTTTAATTTACAGTTATGCATGCTTAATTTATAAATTATATTCATAATCTATCTATTAACTTAATTAAAAATATTTAGAAGAAAATTTTATAAAAAATACATGTACATGTATCCACTTTAATTGACACCAAGCATTTTAAATTATGAATTTACGATTCTTTTTTGTCGTTAAATATTCGAAAGTCATTGGGTATAAAATTTGCTCGAAGAAATAATTGAGAAAATGGATTAAAAATCCAATGTTATGATGTAATTGGTCATAGGTTTGTCCTAATTCCAGTTAAAGTTACAAAAAAAATTCTTAAAACAGTTTTTTTTCTTCAAATTTTTGTTTTTAGTATTTTGGTAAATTACTATTACTTTTAAAGCTTTTAATATTCATCAAGCATAGTAATTTGCCTACAACATTCATTTTTCAAACATAGTCACCGAAAAGTTTCATAAGGAAAAATTGCCGAAAAAAATGCATACCAACTAACATTGTTTGGACTATGTAACATTTGAAACACATAAAAATATTTCCTAAATTTTCGTAAATATTTGGTCAAATGTGAGATGCCAAATGCAATTTAGTTAAGAACTTTAAACTGAATAAATTCAAAATATTCAAAATTACTATTAATACTAAATATTAAAAATTAATATTATTACACGAATCCATAACATAAAATTTGCTTGAAAAATTATAATAAATATTTAATTAACATATAGTCTACTAAAGAACTGTATAATTCTTAAAAATTTTCTATAAATCAATAATATGAAATATATTATTATTATTTTACAGTCACTTGAATCGACTCGGAGGATGATGGCACTTTGCGATGAGGTGAGTATAATAAATTTTGAAGTATTAAATTTTATTTGCCTCTAAAATATTTGTAATACTTATTATAAAAATGTTTTATACTTTAAATATTTTATTAAAATTACTTATTAGTCGTGAAAAATAAAAAAATTCAAATTTCAAAACATGATGGATCGTGAGATAGCGTTGAATAGTATTAAAATATATACCCAAAAATTACTGTTATCAAAATTAAGGTATCATTAGATTGAGGTATTATTATCTATTTTGTACAAGACCAAAAAAAGTTGCATTTTAACTAACATCAGCCCAAAGTCTTAATCATCTGAATACCCTTACATCTAACACCACATATTAATGATTTAAAGATTTATGTTTAAACTTGTAACTACTATACTTCAGTTTGAAATTAAAAGCTGAAGTTATAATTAAAACGACGACTGTACTGATATTTTCATCCACAACTTATTGTTCATGTTGTACTATCCATGTATACTTACACTTTTTACAAACAGTTAATATTTTTTTTAAAGAAAAATTCCTTAATTCAGTAAAATGCGTCGAAAAGAGATAATGCTTTACTCATTGAACTTTATCAAAGAAAAAAAGAATCAGCATTAAATGATTCTAATGTGTTGACTTTCGAAATGATTTGATTTTATGAAAAAATATATATATATTTAAACTAAAAAAATTTAATAGCAGAAAGAACCAAAAATATGTTTAAGACATTTCATCGAATTGAAGAAAATAAAATACGAAATGTTCTGCTATTGTAGTTTCCGAACAAGAAAGTAATTAAGACATAGAATTTTCATAATTTGTGTAACTAATACACTTTCTTATTTGTTTTAGAGCAAGGAAGCAGGTATACGTACTCTCGTCGCCCTTGATGATCAAGGAGGTAATTAACTAAATATATTTAATAATATTGAATTTTTTAAGAACAATTCAAAATATTCTTACTTTAAGTTTAATAAAAATAAATTCACACTTAGAACTTAGCTTTTTGATCAAAACATCGTTAATATTATACAAAATCTACGAATAAAATTCTTTTGCAATGTGCGTTAGCGAAATGAATGTTCTCAAAATTAACGATCTTTAGAAAATGCATTTAAATGCAAAAAAATTCTGAGATGGAAAAAAAAGTAATAATTCAAAATTATTTTCTGAAAATGTTTTATTTGTTTTAAAAATTCATTTTACTCAAATAAAACATGTTAAAATACTTAAGCATAACGAAGAACATTTTAATTTCGTTTTTGGGAGCTTATTTCCAATTTCGGTTTCCACACTGTCAGCATATAAAAAAACTTCGATAACTTCATTATTAAAAACGGAGATCAAACATTTAATGGTTTTGGAAAGATAATGAGCTAAAATTCAAATGTAGATTAAAAAATCGAAATTTTGTTCGAAATTACCGATTTTTACCCAGTCGGATACCTTAAATTTGAAGTATTCTATTTTGAGTAAAAACTCACAGGTTGTAAACTTCTTCTCATGTCAATTTTTAGAACAAATGGACAGAATCGAAGAAGACATGGATAAAATTAACGCTGATATGAAGGAAGCGGAAAAAAATTTAGAAGGCATGGAAAAGTGCTGTGGTATTTGCGTCTGTCCTTGTAACAAGTAAGCATATATTTCTTAATATTAAACAATTCATAAGGCAATCAGTTTTCCTTATAGTTGCTATTGATCAACCAATATTATTCACAGCGAATAACAAAATAAATATGCTTGAATAAATATACTCGGTTCTTTCTCATAAAACCGCAGCAATAAATCCTCACTTGTATTAAAAAAATATTTTTCTCAACTCAGAAACACTTTTATCTTTGATAATCTCCAGGATTTAAAAATGTATGATACATTTTTGTGAAGTATAATATTTTGGTAGTACATAAAAATATTACTTTGTTTAATTATTTTCATTTATTTTCAAATAGAATTCTTTTATGAATTTGTAATAAATGACGAAGCGAAAATCTGTTTAAAAAATGAATTAACACTACGATTCGATATTTCATGTACTGGTTTGAATGGAATTCGAAAGCTGTTGAACGAATAGGAGTCTGTAAAAATACTCAGTAGTTAGAAAGACACAAACTTAGAAAAAGAAAACACACTTTACCAGATTTTTAAAAGAAATAATTCTTTTCTATCCCATTTCAACATTAATTCAATAGTGAGAACACTACTTAAAATTTTATCTTTAGCGCTACTGAAATAGTCATGGCTAAAGTAGAAAATTCTTCAAAAAAATTATCCTGTGATAATTTCATATCAATTTAGAAAGTCTTTTCGTCTCCATAAGTCAAAACAAAAGTTAAAGTTAAATGTAGTGAATACAATTTAAATGCGATTCAAACATAATTTATTGAATCAGTGTTATTTCCGTTCGTTTATGAAAACCAAAATTTTTAGTGAGTAACACTTTGAAGCATTTTACGCTTCTTTATTGTAATAAAACAAATTTAATCAAAATCTGGATGCGAAGATGTTTAAACGCTTTCTTTAAAACGTTCAACCGCCTTGTTTTATTTGTTTCTTTTTTTATCTTCGTTATTTTGTAGCTTTAATCGGTAGTTTTCATGATTTATTGCAGTGTTTAGAAAAATTTAATAAAATTAATGATGTTATTATATTAAAGTTATGCATGATAATTTCTTTAAAATAAAGAAAAGGAAAATATAGGATAAATGCTTTTTAATTTTTACTTCAATTAAATTTGCCTTACTGTCACAACTTGGATAAATGAATTTACTGCTGCCGATGATAACATGTTTGAATATTTCCAAAAATTCTCCTAGTTAGTTTTTCATCTCAAATTTTAGTTAGAAATAAATTTTGCGTGATCTAGAAATTTTTAATCCTTAATCAAGGCACAAATCTACTTAAATTCCGTTGAGTATATTGAACAGTATATAAAACAATGGACAATTTAGACATAAAGAATATATAATATTTTCATGCAATGCAAATAAATACACGATCTCTCAATTCCTCATACATGTGATCTATCAATTTGAGTAAATGTTTACAAAAAAAAAAGAAACTTACATTTAATTTATTATCTGTATTTTCAGAATAAGTTACTTTATTCATATGTGAATGATCGATTTTTGTTATTTTTAAAATAGATCTTCTGATTTTAAAGAAGATGCAAGTACCTGGAAAGCAAGTGAAGATGGGAAAATTGTGAATAATCAGCCAGCTAGAGTCATGGACGACAGAAACGGTGCTGGTCCGATGGGAGGATATATCGCGAAGTAAATTAACTAAATTTGTCAAAAATATTTTGGATTCAACAGATTTTTTTATTTGCCATCATATACCAATAAAAAACATATCGTTTGAAATGTATATACCGGGTTTTCTAAAATAAACGCCGTGAATAAAAAGCTTAGTGGATGAACTATGTAAGTGACATTTTCAGAATGGCTTACAATCAGGGTAAGAGGAAAAATAAAGTGGTAACCAATTTACATTTTAATAGATTTATTTTATACCGAAAAATAGTTAGGATGTGTCATAATTAACTTAAATACAAATAAATAGCAAGAATTAATTTAGAGTTTAAAATATTTATAAATAGTGATGTAAAGAAAGTTCTTTTTATTCTACATTATTAAAATATTAATACACTATCTTTGCTATTACTGGAAAAAATATTTTTGAAGCTACGAAAAACCCGTTGTAGAATTCTTATCAAAACTGTACCATTTACTATAATACCAGAAGTACATAGTAGTAAAGTAATGAAGCGTCATCTGTGTAATGACGATTTTCTACGGTTCCCCTAAACGAATTTCGAACTAAACTATTCTCCATTAATTTTTTGTTTTATCACATACCTTAGTTTTTTATTTCAATCAATGTATATAATTAACATTAATTAAGTATCATTGTCATCAATAAATGTATGGCGATTTTATTTTTAGCTTTTCAACACGAATAAATGCATTTATTGCATTGCTTTTTTCTTTTTTCTACATAGCTTATTTAAAATATTATTCTAATTTACTCCTTAAAATATGTAATTTATGTATTTCATTGTCTATATTTAAATTTCAAACTATAACTAGCGCTAAACCAATTAGAAAATTCCATTTCGTTTCTCACTCATCACACATCATTTTCACATCGTCGTATGCTTCGAACTATCTGTGTGCCAAATTTGGTTGAATGGTGTAGGAGTCTATAAAGGACACACAAAAAGACTGACATTAGTTTTTATGTGTAGAGATTTACTTAGTTGACTTTAAAAATTTAAAAAAGCACTATGAGGTACTATTTTTGTTGAGCTTAGTTTTATTTCAACTAAGAATTTTCCACTTTCTAATTTTATGTTCATAATGCTCCCTGAAAAACATAATATTACTTAAAAATCATCTAAAAAACTCACCTTAGTCTGCTCTTTAACTCAAAACTATAAACATACTGCACGTATAATAAATTCATTATAATTTTTTAAAAATATATTGATATATGTTTTTGAGATATTTTTAATTAATTGATATTTTATCACTAGTTTTTATTAGTTAGTACTTTTTTATAGCAAAAACTAAAACTGTAGGAGAACAATTACACGATTGCCGCCCTGAAAAAAAAACAATTCTAAGAAGGTGAAAACGATGCTTATATTTTTTTAAAGATTTATTGTGCACAAAAATTTCAAATTTACATTTAAAAAAATAGGTAATAAATCTCATTTTTAAACCTTACAAATCCTTTTTATACTGAAAAAAAGTTATGATGTGAAATAATTAACTTAAATACAAATTAATGTCAAGAAAATTATTTAGGAAATTTGCCACCTATAAAATCGTTTTCTTTCTTGGAAACTTATATTCTTCCTTTTCCGTATAAATATTATTTTAGAATAGAATTTAAAAAAAAGACATCAAAACTTTTTTTCTGGATAACCTATTTTAATTGATCCTAAACTTCCTTTGGCGATTTAAAAAATAATCCTTTAAAATTCTACACTATTTTTAAAAAGAATAACGAACATAAAATCAGAAAACAAAGATAAACGTATTTTTAACGTTTTAACTTTAATTTTTAATAGGGTTAGAAATCGATCCGAACCCGTCCCATTTTTAACTCGTGTTAAATTCCTCAATCCATACTTCCTCAATCCAAACCTGTGTTTTAAAAATTGGCTTTATTATAATACTCTTTGGTAAATAATTTTGTTCTTTTTTTAGAAATAATTCGATTTTTTATGGATAATGACTTTTCCCTACTCTTTCTTTAGAGTCAGTAATGATGCGCGTGAAGAAGAAATGGAAGACAACATGCAACAAGTGAGCACCATGATTGGGAATTTAAGAAACATGGCTATCGATATGGGAAGTGAGATGGAATCTCAGAACAGGCAATTAGACAGGATCAACTTGAAGGTGAGGGCAACTAAGTCTTCAGTTTTTATCATTAATAGTGCAACACCTACAAAAACCGATCTGTTTTGCACTTTTTGTAATATTTTAAAAGAGAAATTGAAAAAAATATATGCTTAAAAGTTCGCGCAATCTGAGTAATACGCCATTGGATCATAAGATTATCGTAAGATTTGAATGAACTCTCAAGTGCTCGAACTGTGCACTCGAGAATCGATTGTGCATACGAACAGTGAACTCGTGCACTAGAATCAATCGATTTGTGCACTCGAGTGCAACTTGTGCTCTATAATTTTTATTATTATTATTATTATTATTAAAAAAGCAACACCTTCAAAATCCAATTTGAATTTGATTTGTTGTTAAATTTTAAATGAAAAATCTGAAAATATATGCTCAAAAGTTCGAGCTATTGAAGTATTATGTCATTGGATTATAAGATGTGATCATAAGATTATCGAGTGAAATCAGTGCAACCTGAATATTCTAAAATGACACACATGTTTTCGAGTTAAGCTTTTGAAATAAGAAATCTATAGTGGAGAAACTATAGAACGTTTAAAATCTGAGAATGGTTTAATAGACACTAAACAAATATAAACTTTATTTCTTCTTTTTTTTCATTTTAGGCTGAATCCAACAAGACGAGGATTACTTCAGCCAATCAACGAGCATCGAAACTTCTGAAAGACTAAAAAAAAAGAGAAAGAGAAACAAGGTCGCACAGTCAACACTTACTTTCCAACCAATACATTCGAAAATTCAAGGACTTTTGGTTGAAATTTAATTTCAATTGATGGACATTTTGTCGAATTTATATTAGTGATAGTGGGATATTGCTATGATGGGGACCCCATAATTGAAAAAATTATAACTAATTTTATAAAATTAAATATTTTTAACAATGTGATTTTGTAAAAACTCTTTATTGTTTGATTTCATTGTAAAGCATTGATTAAAATTTAAGAAAAAAAAATATGCAAACTGGACTTCCATCAAAAATATTTTTAAATAAACCAAAACGCATTTTAGATAGTACTTTACTGGGAAATCAAGCACAAAGACATTAAAATTATTTTGCTACTTTTTTTTAACAATTATTCGGCATACTTTGCAGTTATTATTTAAACGTGAAGCACATTTCAATATTGAACTTGAAAAGCCGGTTTTAATGCATATCACACGTTTCAAATAAATGAAATGTTTTCTATTAAAAACCAATACCACAAAACACTTTTTAATCTTCATTTTCAAAAAGAAGTATTACATTTTTGTGTTCTAAATAATATCATTATGAAATTAAAACTTTCATCGTTTTTATTTATAATTCCTCTATCATTTTTTTCATGCGCATTTTCTGTTCTTTCTAACATTCAATTTTTATAAAGATCTTCATATTTGGGCTTACACTCACGTTTATGGCTTTAACACTTTTTTTAAATTTAAAATTAAATTTTTACTTTTATATCATTGTGCGTAATTTCCTTAGAAACTTTCGTTACTGTACCACATATTTTTTATAACTTACAAATTTTAGAAACTATTTCGAATTAAGATTTTTTCAAAGATGCGTATTGAAAAATCTTATATATAAAAATTGATTTTACCGTTTTATTTTAAACGAATTAAATTTTTAAAAATATATTTTCTGATTATTAGTGTGTAATTTCGTCATAAATTTCCCTTACTATTAGCAGTCTTAATTCTTTTAAACATGCAAATTTTATACGATAATTTTAAATTTAGTCTTTTCCTAGAATGCGCATCGAAGACTCTTTTAAGATGAAAAACAAATTTTTACGTTTTACTTTTAAGGAAATACATTTTCAATCACACATTTCCCCATTTATTTGTGGGCAATTTCGTTATGAATTTTATTTACTATTAAAATTTTTAATTTCTTTCTACAAGCAAATTTTATAAGAGTTCCGAAATTGAACTTTTTCAGACAAGTTTAAAAACTCTTAATTTAATATTAAACTTTATTTTTTGCATAATTGTGTGTCCTTGTAAATTAGGCTTTTTCAAATATGTTAACTAAAAACTCTTCTAAATTTAAAATTAAATTAATATTTTTTTAACCATTGAGAGTTTAATTTCCTTACTTAAATACATTTATGTAAGGAAACTTAAGCTAATTAAAGGAAACTTAAGTTATGTAAGGAAACTTAACTTAAGGTAAATGTATTTACCTTAAGTTAAATACATTTTCTAAATTTTTTTAATTAAAAACTAATATATAATTATCTTGTAATTATAATAACTACATATAATTATATATAATTATCTTATAATTATAATAATTATATATAATTATCTTATAATTATAATAATTATATATAATTATATATAATTATCTTATAATTATAATAATTATATGTAATTATCTTCTGAATTTAATTTACCATGTAAGTAGTTTAAAATAATTCTCTTTTGTGAAATGGGAGTCCTCTATTCATTCACTGTTAACCAATATGGCACTTACGCGTGATTTAACAAAAAAAAGTTTTTCAGCAATATCAATGCAATTTTTTGAACTTTATATTGTGCTACGCGACCATGTTGATCGGAAGTATGTGCCTAGACGAAACTTACTTTTTCGTTGTTACTTTACTATTCCTGTATACTTAATGTATAAACCGTTTAAAACAGCTTTTCAGCTATCCACTCTTTGTCTGAGCATCTGTGTTAGCGGTTTTAAATGTGTGAAAAATGTATTTAATAAGTAATCCACGGCGCCTGCGTAGAACGGCGCTTTTGGTGTTACTAAAGCGGTAGAAGGCATTTGTTGTAAATACGCATTCTAGACCTACTTAAAAATAACAGCTATCAAATGTAAAATTTTTCTGCCTATACGTTTCATTCCCAGACCTGGTTGCTTTCTAATTTGAAAAAAATTAATTTCCATAACAGTCAGAGAGTCAGCGTTACAAATATATATATATTTCTATTAATTTATTTTTATTTATTTATCTTTTTCATTTATTTGTTTTTGTATTGATAATAGGCTAAAGAAAAGTGCTTGCTGATAGCCTAGTGGTCAGTTTAAGATGCACTTAAAAGTAAAAGTTTCAAAACAAATTTAGTAAGCGGCAGTCGGTTAATATACAATAATAATTAATTAATTATTGGGTTTTCACGTCTTCTTTACAGAAATCTTCTTTAAAGAATTAATTCTTCATTTGCAGCGGGGAAATTAGATTAAAAAAACTAATCACTTTTTAAATGTGGTCGACTTACAATATACACTGCTGCAAGATAATATGAGAAAATTCATTTCTTTCAAGAAAAAATTACTGAATCAAATTAAAACTCATTTTTAACGATGTTTTTAAAGCAAGTCGTCTAAGGTATTTGATGGTAAACTTTATTTTGCGGTTTATTGCATAATAATAGGCTGTAAAAATTGAATAAAATCAAAATTTCAGAAAAAATTTAGTGTTGTCGTGTTACATCATTTTAAGCATTACAGATCGTTTTTATTGGAAAAATTATGAAAATCGTACATTTAACTTCATATAATATACAATTTTAACATGGGTTTATGAATTTATATTCATGAATGGCATATAAAATATATTTCTTTTTAAAAAACAGTAAATTTTAAAAAATAGCAATGCGTCATTTTGGACCCTGCTTTTCGCCCTCTAGAACGTACTTTTATAAAATCTTAGTTTATTGGCTATTAGTTATAATTTTCAACAGTACCATACCAGGTTTGGGATATAAACAAAGCACAATTAATAGTTATGTCATCATTGTGTAGATTAAAAGACACTTAACAACTGCATAGAGAAAAAAAAGACAAAAAAATTCAAGTAATGAAAAGTTGTTTTAGGTTTAGCATGTAAATTTATACAGATAAGTAATTAGGTATTTCCGCAAATTTTTTCCGAAATATATTTTATCACCTTGGACCAATTATTCGTCTTGCACAAAAATGTAGTAATTTTTTCCTCGTTTCCTAGATTTTTTGCTAATCAATACCTTGTGATATTTTTCTTTCTAAAAAGCAAACTGTCCTTTTTTTTATTAGTGTCCTTTTACTACTGCATAAATTTATTAATGTTTTGTAATTTAGAAAAACAACTTATTTTGTATTATTTGGCTGAAAAAAGGTTTGTGACTGTACTAAGCATGTTTTATATAAATTGTGTGACTTTAAGATTATTATGGTTTTCATTAATTTAAATTTTAGAGAAAATTATAAATTCGTTGAAATATTTTCTCTATTCTTTTTATAATTTAACTACTGTAATACTTGTAACATTTCATATGCATATAAAATGTATTATATACCATTTAGCTCTGAAAAATTGCTCAATTTTTGTTAGTGATATTACACTTAATTATTAGCAAGTTTTGCTCTCCTCTGTTAAAAAATTGTGGCTTTTTAGACGGTAATTTTAGTTTATTTAATAAAATGCTTTTATACTTTCAAATTATTTCATATCCAATGATTATTCTTCAAACTCTAACTAACCCAGAAAGTGTCTCATTTACATTTGTTGTAATATGTTAATCTATAGCTACAGCTTTTTTTAAAGTTATCTATTATTGATCACTTTAAGGAACTGCTCTACGTTTAAGAACTTGCAATTAGATAACTAAAATTCTTATTTTGTTTTAAACAAAAATTAAGCAATTGTTTGTGTTTTTCAGTTTACTTTCTTGAGATTTTGAGAAGAAATAAAGCCAGACTAAAACTGAAGTTTCTTATGTTATTTAATTTAAAATTAACTCAATAGAATTAATGTTTTAGAAATTATTATTATAGTAGAAAAAAACGAAGTCATATTTATTTTCTTATACTCACATCTTAATTTTTTTATACCCATACAAATTTAATACTTCGATTTAAACAATGTTGTACTTAATATTTGATTAAATGCTGGTTTATTATTTTAGGGGATGCCAACTACATATTTCTTAAATAGCTTCGAATTGCGACTTGAAAACAGAAAATTTATTTAAGAAAATGCTAAGTATCGTCATTTCTAAAAAATATGATGTTACATGTCTAAACAAATTTTCGATAATTAGTCATTATTAGTAGATAAAAAAAATTTGAACTTCATTTTACACTCTCAGGAAAATTAGCATTACGCTGAGACATAATACCGGTATTATGAACCATTATATCTCGCAAATTTTCTGAATCTAAAATGAAGCGTTAAACTAAACCATATTATAGAGTAATCAAATTTAAGAAGATTGAGTTGCATAATTATATGGTTCAGCGTGGTACCATATGGAAATACCATACCATATGGTTGCACCATATGGAAATTCCAGTTAATTCCACGAAAAACTATGGTTCAAGGTGCTCCAAAAGTTTTGGGTATGCGGCACGGATAATATGTAAAAATCTATTAAAATAAAAAATATATAATTTAAAAAATAATTAAAATTTAAAAAAAATCAACGATCTTCAACTAATAAAATTATGTATTACGCTTGTATTGTCGTGTATTTTAGAAAAAATGATCATTTTATGAATTAATTAGTTTCATGGAAGCAAAATGCTTCAGTTACCTTACGGTGTTGATATAACTTGTGATAGTGTTTATTAAAAAATATAAATAAGTAAAGTAAAATAAACAAAAATTAGTTTCATTCATTGAAAAACCCTGAATATTGTGTTTTCCTTAAAGAAAAATCGTATTTGCTGTATGAGTTGCGCATTCGAAAAATAAAGGAACTAGTACCC